TGCATGTTGGCTTGGTGTTCCAGATTCGGGCGGACCTTTTTTCTTCTTTATAAAAGTGTGTTCGATGATACGCTTGGATAGCAAACGCTGGGTACGGCCGGCATACCTAGCTCCACAACAGTAGGTGAAATGATAGATGCACATTGATGAAGGAGACAGTGGTGGTTTATCCTTCAGGTTCATACGAATCATTGCTTTCGTAGAGGGTAGTCGAAGTTCAGCCGCAGTTTTTTTCAGTGAGCGAGACAGGCGGTTTCTCAGTATTTCTGCTGATGAGTCTCTGTTGAATTGTTGATTCAAGTAGAGAAGATTTTCGGGAGGAGAATGTATGGGCGATTGATTAATTTAAAGATGAACATTCGTATACCAACTGAATATTTGAAGGAACTCCTATTGAGGTGCAACCCTAAACGTCTGATTCTCTTTCTATAACGAAATATATCGACAAAAAGATTGCATAGCTATGGGCCCACCACTTAAATGTTTAGCTCCTCTTCTATAGTATCAGGGCTGCAAATGCAGCGGATTCTGTGGCCCAGTGAATGGATGAGGTTTCGTTTTGTATATACGCGCACCTAACTGAAATTTAGTCAGTTTCCTATTCCATGTCGCCTTTCCGTAGAGTAACTCTTCATTGAACGCCTTTTCTTTTATATGACTCAATGGGAATTTTTAATTTGTAGCATTTTTAACCGTTTAGTAATGATTGCTCTTCTTTTGAGTGTTTTTGAACGCCTTAGGAGTTCCCTTAATATAAACATCGCCTAACAGATGGTCTAAATGTTTAGTATTTATGAGCCTGTTTGTTTCAGATCCTTTTAATGTGTTCATAAATGCTAATGAGAACTCTTCTATCTACCCTTCTGAGGTGTGTATTTTGGCCCGTATGTGTAAATTGGTAGATACAGATGAAGGTAAAATGAAATGGAAATCATTTCAATTCTGATGGTTTTAAACAACGACTAGTTTGATACAAACACAAAAGTTTGTTAGCTGGATGTTTCCACCACTGTAGCATCCAATCTGCACCTTCTTCTACCAGCATAGTCTTTTCCTCCACTGTGGTGCGATCCACTTTCTTCACACTAGATACATAATGTTAGTCGATAAACATCTGAAAATAATTGCTACCACACCACTATGTACAACTCTTCTCCGAGTTTTCCTACAAGTAAACCTTCTAAACGATCGAACAGTGCTCTTATCTATCACTCTTTGAACCTTGCAGAGCAAAACCTTTTAAAGTTCAGACTGAGTTCCCCATACGTCTCTTTTCTGGGGATGCACCTTATAATTTTGACATCTCTGTCACGTAGAACACCACGACTTAAGAAAATTTTATATTAGGGCCACGCACTAACCACGAGATTTAGTACAAATGACCGATATTCCCGGTTTGATGGCAAATTATTCCAGTAGCTGATGAATATCCCAATAATATCCGGCGCAACTTACCCCCAGTCTCGAAATTTTACAAATAACTATGCGGATGGGTTGGTACTAGGTGAGATCTCTCCGCAATTAAGACTTGATAAAGTGCGAGCACAGGATCATAACTACAGTAACTTAGGCTTCTAATGGTCAAACTAATGCATAATCCTACTCTGATAACCCTTCTCCTGGTCCACTCATACGAAAACGATGCTTTATGTATATCAGGAGTGTTTCGTCTATAAAGGTATTACTCCCTGAATTATAGGCGTTGTAAGTAAAGAAAGTGTTCCACTTCATCAGACTGAATATACAGTATTACAAAACATAAGCATAGTGCAGAAGTAATAAGCCGAGACACAAATCAACAATGGAGAAGAGGTCAGCGTCGAAAAGCACTGGAACAACTTGAAAACAGTGTCGAGTCAAACCTGCATGGAAGTTCTAGGCAGAAAGAAGAGACAGGACAAACAGTGGCTCACTACGGACACTTGGAGGCTAATAGAAGAGAGAAGGATGGTGAAACAAAAGATTCTCCAGTGCGCCGACAAGCAACAAAAACAGGATTTGAATCCAAACTACAAAACACTGAACAAAAGAGTAAAGAAGAGTGCCAGAGAAGACAAAAGAAAGTGTTATGAAACCATGGCAAGTGAAGCAGAACAAGCTGCAGGCAAAGGAGACCTCGTAACACTCTACCAAACTACAAGGTACCTATCGGGCAAAAGTTTGACACAAATTAAGCCAGTGAAGGATGACAATGGAGCAAAGAAATGGAGCAAAGGAAACACTTGGCTGAACACTTCAAAAGACTCCTAAACCGACCACCACCTACAACGCGCCCAACAATACCAACAACGGAAACAGAGCTACCAGCGAACACCAACCTCCCGACGAAATCAGAAGTCCTGAAGGCAATCAAGATGCTAAAAGCTGGAAAAGCAGCAGGACCAGATGGAATCCCAGCAGAAGCATTGAAAACGGACCCAGAGACAACAGCGGACTTGATGACGCCACTACTGGAGAAGGTGTGGAAAGAAGGCAAAGTACCCGAGGATTGGAAGAAAGGATACTTATTCAAACTACCAAAGAAAGGAGACTTAAGTCAATGCAAGAACTGGCGCGGAATTATGCTCCTGTCCATCCCAAGCAAAATACTAAGCCGCATCATCCTGGATGAAAAACTTCGACCGGAACAGGCTGGATTCAGGAGAAACAAGTCATGCATTGATCAGATCGCCACATTACGGATCATCATTGAACAAAGCTTGGAATGGCAGTCACCTCTCTATCTCAACTTCATCGACTTTGAAAAGGCCTTCGACAGCGTCGATCGTGAGGTGCTTTGGCAACTACTCTGCTACTACGGGGTGCCACCGACAATTATACATCTTATCCAACAGCTGTACGACAATGCTGCATGTCAAGTAATCCACAACGGGAAACTTACGGAATCCTTCGAAGTGAGGACAGGAGTAAGACAAGGCTGCCTACTATCGCCAATGATTTTCCTGATTGCAGTAGACTGGATAATGCGACAAACAGCGGGCAATGAGGAAACAGGCATAAAATGGACTCACACAAAAGACTTGGAGGATCTGGACTTCGCCGATGATATATGTCTGATTTCCCACAAACTGGAAGATATGCAAGCGAAAAGCAACAAGTTGGCAGAAGAAGCATCAAAGATGGGACTTCAGGTGAACATAGAGAAAACAGAGGTGATGAAGATTCCTGGGCAACACCACCACCACCAACAACAACAACAACAGACAACAATCAGCATAAATGGGAGGAACCTGAAAGAAACAACCTCTTTTACCTACCTGGGAAGCATCGTTTCAACTACAGGCAGAACTGATGAGAATATCAAAGCAAGAATCGGAAAAGAAAGACAAGCTTTCACTACTCTCAAGTTTGTGTGGAGGTCAACAGCACTCAGCATGAAAAATAAGATCCGGATTTTCAACTCCAATGTGAAGTCAGTGCTACTATACGGATCAGAGACTTGGCGCGTCATTAAGAGCATCTCAAACAAACTACAAACCTTCATTAACAGTTGTCTTCGCTCAATACTCAAGATCAGATGGCCAGAAAAGATCAGCAACAGGGATCTTTGGGAGCGAACCAACCAGGAAGCGATTGTGAAACAAATAGGCAGGAAGAAATGGAGATGGATTGGCCATACTCTGAGGAAACCATCAAGTGACATCACTAGGCAAGCCATTGCTCGAGTGGAACCCGAAAGGGAAGCGGCGAGTTGGTCGTCCAAGGGTGACTTGGAGGAGGTCATGTGAAGAGGAGATTAAGACATGTGGGCAGACTTGGAGCCAGGTGAAGATTCTAGCAGAGAACCGAACGCAATGGAGACGCCCTATGTTCCTCTAGGAATTAAAGGAAGCAATAATAATAAGAAGAATTAATAAGTAAAACTGACCGTTAGATGGTAGAAAGCAATCGGTAGGAAGTCTTGGACCTCGCCAACAAGGCGTATCTGCAACCTTGAAGGAACTCATGTTCCTTCTGAGTTTCTGACCCACGTCACTCAGTGCTGCAGTCTGAAACTTTACCACTGAGCTATTCGGGCTTGCAAATGACATCCTGTAGGTTGCAGATACGCCTTGATGACGAGTGCCAACTAGCACGAAACCTAGGTCCAAGGCTTCCTGCCGATTGCCTCCAACCATCTAATACCAACAATTCACAGTGCACCGTGATGGCGAGCCACATAGAATGCTGACCACATCGCAAACTTGACTGATAGAATTCAGTCTGCACCAAACAAAGGGCTAGACACACTACACTAGTTACTGACTAGAGTCCAATCGAAAACTGACTGTACCAATAGAAATTCAATGACGTGGCCTTTAATTTAGGCTATGATAGAAGTTTTAGTCGACACATACCGTAGGGAACACTTAATTATAATGTCTCCCCTCCTGCCCTAACAATTACCATACAGTCGCCAATGTCTTCAGTATTGATTCGACCAATAATTAAACAAAGAAGCTGGGCTGAAGCTTATAAAACACTTCAGAGCACTGTATTTGTTGACAGACAATATGCAAAAAGTCACTTCAGTTTATTCCTTGTCAAGTTCGACCATAAAGTTGTAGATGTAGCCTAGGAGGAGCACACACGCTTTTGGTTTTCCTCAACACACCACAAATCATCAAGAGGAATTCAACTACTGAATGCAAATATTTTCACAGCGCTTACTACCATAGCTAAATGAAAGTCAATGGGAGATGCGTGAATTATCGTAAATAGCTAAATTAGAAATCACAAAGATCCACCATTAATTGAACCGACTACTGAATTTTTTAGCATAGCCTGCTAACACTACACTACGAAAGTTCAGTGTACCGAAGGTGGTCACCAGAAAAATAATAACGGAGCATATGAACGGTTTCTTATTGATGATAACTTATTGATGCTTTTTACTATAAGTCTGATTATTACAGAATCACATTCAGAAACATACCACATTTACTGGGATATCGAGTTAAATAAGTGGTTCGATTTCTGAGCATAAATAAAGAACTCTTCAACCTAGCAGCCCCATAAAACTCAGGCATATTTTTTAATAAAGAAATATATATGTCAAATTAAAAATTAGTATTCAAGAAGATGAATAACTTCAACAACCTAAAAATGTTCGAAATACAATCCAATGATTCCCCGTGAAAATATCCTACTGTTTTCGTAAAAACTTCAACTTTTCAGTCGGTCTTAAGTGAGCCTGTTAACCTGTCAATTTCTTGTTTAGATTTAACTTCCGAAGCACAAACACGGGGAACCCATCCTCGAATTTTCATTGGACTTCCTAGAGAAAAAAATAACGAAAAAGCACTTCAGATAAATAAATTCTCAGAAGGTGAACAATTTAGAAGTGATTGGCGTAAAGTAGGTTAAACCTGATACCTGGGTCTTCAGCCAAATATAAATACTCAAGAGCAAGATTCTGGAAATATATATATATATATATATATATATATTGGAATTCAATCACGTGAAAATTCCTAGCTTCCATCAATTGACGATACAACTCCATTGACAACCAGTGCCACGGATAACCATTCCCTTCATCCTGATATCATGAACACCACCGGCCAAAACATTCTACTACAACTTAAGAACATCTACCCTACACCCACTGAACAACTGGATATTAGGGACCAGATTTTCGGTTCCTACGGATTTTCATTATTTTTAATTTAAATTTCATCACAAACAAACACCTGTTATAGATTCAGCAGTAATCCAGTTGCTTGATTGCCAACCCAGTGGGTAAATGGTCAGTTGCCTCACCTGTTAATCTGATGTTGAGATCAATCCCTTGTGGGTTGACGGTTGCGTATTCCTGAGTGGTCTGAAACTAAGAAGAAGCACTACCCCGGTGCTCTTTGTTCTTCTCTGATTCTCCAACAAATATTGGTTTAAGGATTTCATCATGAGCTGACAACGGTTAGACAGCCATTGGAAAACCTTGGAATACTAGAAGGTTGTTTCGTCCTAGTTTTGGACTCTTCATCCGCACACGCCCACCGGGGTTCGAACCCAAGATCTTCTGATTACAAGGAGAGATCGTGGTTAGTGGGGAAATATACATTTGAATTAATAAAAATCCCCAGAAAACCTACATCAAGATGTGACAGTAACTCATCTAAGAAGACATTGCGAAATGGTCGCGCTATGTCGTGAATTGGCAGAAGTTAGAATTCAAGGACCATTGGATCGGGTCCCAGTGGCTCAATGGTCTACGAGCTCGCCTTGTAACCAGAAGGTCCTGGGTTCGAATCCCGGTGGCGCGTACTGCTGAAGAGTCCCAAACTAGGACGAAACAGCTGTCCAGTACTCCCAGGTTTTCCAGTGGTCCTCTAACTCATGTCAGCTCATGATGAAATCTTCCATACAATTAAACAAAATCCCTACCAAACCAATACTTGAAAACTAATAAGTTTTCGTTGAGATAATTTTACATAAGTAGAAAATATGTCAGTTTTTATTTTTTTTCTAAAACAAATGAAGATAAAATGGGTAAGAAAATACAAACAAAATCTGAAAAGATGCTGGATATTTACCCACGCAATGTTGAATAGGAATTTCAGATTGAACCAACTGTCCATAAATCCAATACCTGGTAAATAAAAAACAGATATTTGCATGATGCACGTTAGCTGTCAAATCATGACAAACTATTCCACAATGAGATGGTCTAATGACAACCACCATCAAGAGATCACCTAAAATGCTTCGAGCAAAAGATGATACATTAGGCTGTTCTTATCAGTTGTACTGATTCGCTGTGCATACATTGTGACTACAATGCTGAACACGTGTTTCATCTCCCTACTCTTGATTCCTTATTTATACAGCTTTTGCTTGAAGTGGCAAGCTGCAGAATTTACATCACTTTTCATGTAAGTGGAGAGAGAGAGATTGATTACTGAATCCTGGTTCATTGAGTCTACACCCAACACATGCAACAGAAATGACTCAATGCAAATACCAGAAATATGGAAAATATTATTACCGCCAGTGAAATCAGAAGAGGATAATAAATAATCTCAAAATTCTATTTAAATTCAAGCAAATCACAACATTCTTACAGGTAACTTATTATGACTAAAAAAGCACTCGTCTTATTTCCCATCTGATTGTATTTGATTGATAACACTCATATTATTATTATTTCTGAATGTACATTATCCTATACTGATTTTTTATCCAAATATCTAATCAATCCCACTCATGTATATAAATGAAGGAAAAAGTTGTATGAGTGACTTGATATGATTATGAGCAACAGTTTGTGCTCGAAACGTCATCAGTTAATATTACTGTATAACTGTGTGATTTATCAAAATAAAATCTTATTTATAAAAAAAAATTTTCCTTCTACTTTAAGAATATATCAAAAAGCAACTCACTAATAAACACAAAATACGGATATTATACAATCCAATACATGCACACAGCTTTCGATTCTAATGCAAGACAGAATTATTTGAGAATGAGTTCTTCGGGAAACTAGTTATGCAAAATAGCTACAACATCGACAGACGATAACAGCTAAAACAAACAGATTAGAGATAAGTGGATAAGTACTTAAACCTAGTATTGAAATGAAACAATATTAATTGTGCATCCAGTTGACGAGTCCCAAATAGGACGAAGTGCGCATCCTGGATTCCACTGCTAGTCACCATCATCCAATTAAATATTAAATGTGCTTCATATTTCACTCACTTTGTTTTCCTTGTCACCAGCAGAGTATCACCTACGCTGACTGATATTCTTCGCTCTTCTAAATATGGAGAACGAATCACAGTCAAGCAACCATAACGGAAGCACATACACCAACTTCCATCATATGCCTTAGTAATCGTGAATACGCGCCGAACTTGTTGCTTTAGTTTCTTCTGGTAAATTTGCTCCATCTGAAACGACACAAAATTACCACAAGGTAAAACAGTACAAAAAAATTGATGATTCATCTTGATTTTTAATGAATTTACTAACCAGATATAATATAAATTCTCAAATGATTATTCAATGAAAATATTTACTGGAAATGACAATTTTCCTCAACCTAAAAGCTGTAAAACAACCACAAATTGCAGCTTAACAACCAGGTTTATTTAGACTTGTATGCAGTAAGCAAATATCCAAATTTTTGGTGGTTAAATGGAGTTTAAGCCTATGGCTCAGTGAGAGTAAAACTATATAGACAAATATTACAATTCACTAGCGTTCCAGTCAAACTATTCTGAACAGAACTATGCAGAGGAGTTAAATATCACAAAATATCTTCCTAATTAGTCCTTCAAGTTCCTTCTGCACACATTAAAATATTGTCATATTTATAAAGTGTAATGGGCTAGGATTTTGAATTTACAAACTAAAATAAACCTCTAGGGACTAGATGGCGTCGGTGGCACAGTGGTGGAATGCTCACCAACCGAGCATATGGTCCGGGATTCGATTGCCGATCGACACACCCGTTTACCTCGCTAAGCCAGTAACAAGACTGGTAAAGAGGGAAGAGACGGCATGAAGCTAGCAACCCTATCCCATAAAAATAAGCACCACTACTATCGAAACTTCAAGCCTCTAGCTTGAAGCCCTATGTTCCACTGGTAACGTAAAGCAATAAGGAAAAGAAACTAGAAAGAACATTTCAATGGAATACTAAAAATACATAGTTTAACTAACGATGACTTTAGGGTATATTCTAGTAGTGCAAATAGTAACTGTACTTATCGTATTCATCTCTTAAAAAGTAATCAGGTCAAAATACAGAATAAAAATCGAAACACGATGACACAAAAATGTCCTTGTTCTTCTCAGTGTTGGATATGCATACGGACTAATAACGACCATTCATATTTTGTTAATGAAACATATTTGTAAAGCAAAAGCAGAAATCAGACTTCATTTATTAAAATTGCCAAAGCCATCAACTAATAGACTTGTTGATGTAAACAGCTCCCCTGATTAGCAAATATCCAGAAACAAAAATATCATTATAAAGTTACTTTAAATATCTAAGTTCAAAATGGGCTGAAATCGTGTTATTCGCTTTTTCTCACTGGATATATCTCTAGAAAATGAGGTGAACTGATTTTTTTCTACACAGCTGACTAAAAAGCTCCAAAAAATCTTCCATTCCCCTTGAATTAAAGTGATTGATGTAGAAAAAACTTTCAAAAAACACATACCGTCAAATCATATTGAGTGCATCCTTCTAAAACAGGCCAGTAGTATCCATCATTCATAGAACTGTCAGAACGTGAAAACACCTGATAGAATGATAGAGAAATGATAGATAAATCACGTAAGTCATCAGAAAATGAATGAATCAAAAACCCAAATAAATGGAAGACAATGGAAAAATGTATGCGCACACAATGTTAATACGAGAATATTTTAATTTCTGCTACACCAAAAAAGAAACAGTAAAATAAATTACTTTAAATGAACTATGACTGAATACCGACCTGTTGAAAATTTTCAAAAATTCCGAGATCATATGGGTACCGGAACGGTCGCTCTTCTCCTAAATCTTTCCTCCAAACTTTTGCCTTGAAAAGAGAATCATTTAGGACACATACATAATTAAAATAACAACAGTTAAAATCTTGGTAAACGTAAAACCTAATGAAAAACACTCATACACCAAACGAGAATAAAGAACTTAAAGCATAACTACTCTAAACTTGATACTGACACTATTAAGGTCAATTGTATGTCTGGTGACCTCCTAAACTCAGTGGCAGAAACAATTAGTTTGAGTCAAGCTAACCTTCGTTTGACTACTGAAAGGGAAATAATCATTATAACTGAATAGTGACTACGAATGTTTGTTATCACCAATATACGGGCTACAGCACTAACACGAAATATATTTTTGTTACTTCAGATATCAGGATATTCTTACTATTACTTGATACTCACAGACAAAAGGAGCGAAGAATCCGCGTTGCCGCTGCTGCTGGATTCAACATAGAACTTGACACCGAAGTGCAGCAGTTCGAGTTGCCACGTTCCAAATAGCACACAAAGGTAGACAGGAAAATGAGAGAAGAGAATCCGTGTAAACACTACACATTAGATACTCAGTCTATTGCTGGATATAAATAGGATATTTGATTTTGACATGTATGAGTGACTGGAACAAAGGACAGATAAAGTCGATTCACGTAATAAAAGATATGCAATGAAATTAAATTTCAACCGTATTCATGTTTTATTGGCAACCAACCTGCTAAGAAAGTAACCGTAAGGTTCAGTGAAAAAGTAAATGATTTAAACTACCTTAATTTTACCTGTCACATTAAAAATGATAAGTGATTCATGTCTGAGATGAAACTTAAGCTACTTAAAAGAATCTCTGACTGAAAGCAGTAATGCTACACATCAAGGGTTTTTGTGAATTTGATCAACTTCAAGGTAGATTTCTTCACAAATCGACATCAGTTAGAGCATTACTAAAGTCCAACAACCATTGGACAAATGTGTGGAACTCTTCAGTGAAATTCGCTCATTACTGACTACCTTTGAGAGATTTCCTGAAGTTCGAATGAGAAGTCAACACGTGTGGTTCTCACTAAGAACGCTAAGAGGACAGTTACTTACCAATGTAGAAAATCAAAACAAGTGACTCAGTGAAGAGACTCTTTGCAACGAATTTATTATCAAGCTGTACAATCGCATATATATGGTATTTAAGAAATAATATCTAGTGAGGAAATTGAATCATAGGTGTGAATATATAAAATAATAACTATTTTTTTATCCTAGTTGCCTACTAATCACATAATTCAACACCCCGTCCAATTTCTATACATCCTATGAATTATTATAAATACTACATTAGTTGTTTTGCCACTTAACACTAAACCATGATTACAATCACAAACATTTTAATTGCATCTCATACTATTATCATTTTATGTATTCACATCTATGATTCAATTCCCTCACCGGATATTATTTCTTAAAAACCATATACATACGATTGTATAGCTTGATAATAAATTCGCTGCAAAGAGTCTCTTCACTCAATCACTTGTTTTGATTTTTTATATGTCCCAATGGGAATTTTCCATGGACATCAATGAAGCTATATTGCGAATTAACAAGGGATGGAATTTATGACCCACTGAATTTCGCCCCATCGGATAAATGATAAATGCTCGCGACGCGACCTTATGGTTGTGAAGAAGCACAAATGAGCTCCAGACTACGCCAAAATATTGTGCCCCACATTTTTCACAGCTTAAACCACCTTATTATAGTTACCGCGCAACACAATTGGAAAGAAAGAGTACCAACAATTCCCTTACATTTTATTTACCTTAGCCACGATCCATGACTCTATTCCTGTCTGATTACGTGAAACGGCTTTCAACTGAAGAATCGCTAAAATTCCAACGGACAGCGTTACTCCAACAGCCAAACCCAAAGCAAACAATGTGATAAGTAGATCAGCTATGAAGAAGAAAATATTTGATGTCGGTCTCCGTAAAAGTACACTGGGGAACTAAAATCAAATGAAAATGCTCAAATGAATACAGTAAAAATCTTTCATAAATGGCTCTACATGACACACAAAATCTAGCAAGAATCAGCTTAAAAAATGCAACTGGTGAAATAAAAAGCAACTCAACAATTATGTAAGTTTATGCAGCGAAAAGGAAGATGAACCTATTACTTAAGAGCTAAAAAAACCATTTAACATAGAAGTATAGGTACAGTAAGTGATTTTAAACACAACCAAAAGATTAGGGATAACTTCCTACACCAACAAACCATGCCTCCACATAAAAATAGATCAAAGTGTGTTGGAAATGACTAAGCCTTAAAAGATGCTTCAAGGGAAAAAATAGTCCTTAAAGAAGAAAAAGGTATGCTTCTGTGTAGCAGTAAAATCCAGTAAACAAGCTAAAATCAAAACACTAATGTTCCGAGAATTAACAAGTTGAATAATCAATACAAAGCACCAAATATAAAAACCAAAAGTTTGCGGCCCAACAATTATGAAATTAGAATGAGTGCTGAGTACTCTGAGGTGCTTTATTAAGTAAAGACAAAGTAAAACGAAAGGAATGAAATAAGGGAGGAAGATCACAGGTAACATAATTTGTCTTTTCAAGCTTCAGAAGACTAAACAAGTTTGCAGTTTTCAGTATCTTTTGCAGCAATATGCTATTTAAAACTCTAAGACATGCTCTGCATCGTGTCAATTTAATTCAGCGAAATCTAACTTCAGGGTAGTATGTAATTTGAAATACCTTATTCTATTTTCTCTTCTTCTGGTTGGTCACACTAATTTCTCCAGACTTAACTTTTTACTAATGATAACCTGAACTGACAAAGAGCCTCCCGAGTCCCCACACTAAATTTCGTGTATACACTCGATTCACTACAGACTTTAAAAATTCTCCTACATTCATGCTACATCACACTGCCTAAAATCTAAATAAACAAAAGTACGCAGATTTTAAAACAAACACGAACATCGTCCATGGTTGATAAACGTTATTTAAGACACTGTCTAGTTGTGCTCAAGGACAAAAATAAAAGTGGTGACATAAGGCTGCTAGAACTACTAAACAAAATGCTCCTGAAGTGAATAAAAAGCTTTAGAGTTCAAAAGTATGCTGGGAGTACGACTGGTATTCACAAAATACAAATTCGCGTCGGTAGCACAGTGGTTAGGACTCTCGCCGACCATGCACATGGTCCGAGGTTCGATCCCCTGCCGACGCACACCCGATATCTATGGTCGGCCTGTAAAATTTGGGCTACCGATATCAAAAAAGCTGAAAATTCCATACTTGTACTAAAAATACGGTGTGGCATCAAGCTGTAACCAAAATAAAAAAATTTAAAAAAAATAAATAAAAATAAAAGGACAACAAATTGTCTTCAAAAAAGGATTCAAAAACATAAAAGTGCAGGTAGAGAGTTAGAAATTTTCATTTATTTTATTTAAACGCAGAAAAACTTGCTACAATATGGAGCCAGGACTATGCGCCACACACTAATAATAAAACAAAATAGATTATAAGTAAAAATATAAATAGAGAATGGATAAAGAACTTCATCTGGAAGGAAAAGTCATATTTAACAAGTTCAAACAGTATTCGTCAACTATCATCAAGAATGGAAGAAAGAAGGAAATTGCTGCACGTTCGCCATCGATTACGATTCTTGGCCATATCCATAACGTTTCGAGCCATCGATTCGAGCTATCTCTTGGACTCCAACCAGGGAGACGTGACGCACCAACCGATACCAACCTACCACAAAAATCCTTCATCCCACGACGCCACGTCATGGACTGACGACCTTTCCGCTTTTTCCATCCCGTCCCAGGGCCAGCAAACGGAGACCGGTACGGAAGTCTCTGGGATGACATTCGTAGCACATGTCCAAACCACCGAAGCCGGTGTTTCCAGATGACGACACTCAACAATTGGTGGTCTCCACTGTGTTCAAACACACGCCGCTGAACCTCAAAATTAATCACGCGATGATGCCATCGAATGCAAGCAATCCTGCGGAGACAGTGATGATCGAATACGCAGAGCTGAGAGTTAGAAATCAACTTCAACCTACATAGAACTGGAAAGCTAATAAAAATAGGCTTCTTTGAATTACAAAACGAAGATCATACAAACTATCCACCCTTTCAAAGTCATACTGTCAGATTTTAAGAAACCATTAGGTTGTCAAGACCATCAGTTCAAAAGGAAGAGAGAATGCAGAGTGGCAAATACATCTTGTTTTAGTCAACACAACAATAGACAGACAACTCAGACAAATGATCAGTTGAAATCTACCTGCAAACATGAAAATACAATAACCAGAATCAAAGTATATTGATAAAAGCAAGAGCTTCAAAAGAAATCTTACCACCTTGTGAAAATTTGACACTTACAAATGCTGGATTTCTGTAAATGGAAACTGATAAAGCCACACCAGAAGCAATACATCCAAATGGGGCAAATAACAAAAATATTAGAAAGTATCCGTGGTTAAGATGACCACAACATGTATTTATCCATGGACAATGATGATCCATTTTCATAACACACCGGTCACAAGATCGGCAGTGATGTGCCCGAGGAGGTTTAAAGCCCTTACATACATTGCAAAACTGAAGTTTTTCTTCAAATATACGGTCAGACTGCCAAAAAAACAACGGCAAAAGGGAAAAATGTAGCAGTTTACGGATATGTTAGTGTTTAACAACAACAGAAACAGAACACAATATTGTTTGACTTAACTTTTATGAAATTCTCAACTTGTTCACTAACTAATAAGACATTAACATAACTCCAAAACTTAATCTGTGACTAGTGTGAAAACTTAGAGGAACCTTTTAAGACTCAAAACGTTGATAGGAAAAGGCTGAGAAAATGCGAAAGACAAATAATTAGTCAAATTTTTGCGTTAACTGAAATTGTTGAAATTATACTGCGGCTGTTTTACATTTTAGAATAATATCATTTTCAAGAATTCTACAACGATAGTATTCATTGCGCAAAAAGACGACTGTTGGCAAGAATGTAAATGACCTCTTGGCCCAGGTATGGTGAATGTGTATACGTTTATATATATATATATATATATATATATATATATATAATACAAGTGAACAGTGGGACCAACATATTTCCGAAAACGGTAGTAAAACCCTTCGAACCACTTCAACGTTTGGTGGCACAAATACACAATCCACTATGGAGTTACACAATCCCAGTCAGGAAATTCATAATCTGAGTATACCATGAATATATCGATAGGATGCTTGCTACCAATGGTTTATTACTGTAAAACCAAAATATATATTAGCTCTTATTTGAAATGAAGATAACAATTAGTTATAGCCTTTTTAACCTTTAGAAGTGGTCTGTACGTATTACTCCCCATTACCTTAATTTATGACTGCTACATGCAACACACATCATCTTGAATCACACATATTTCTCATACCAAGCCCGTGAAAACCTCTACCAGCACCTCTCCCTCAATCAAATCAAAGATCGACCTGCACTATACAGAGAATTGTAAGGACTGGTGTAGTCCTGAATTTAGAACAGTAAATTAAAGCTTACTACATTTGGTTTGAAAATTCAGCAAGTCCTATTGTACTAACACAGAATGGCACTGGATGCACGGAGTAAACTTACTGGCCTCCACTGAAAAGGAACAAACCCTGGACCAACAAATACTGCACAAAAATAAGACTTTAAAGTCACATAGAAGCACGAACAAATGCAGATAGATAATATCAGGCCAAATGTTGAGGAAAATGGAGGTAATACTTGCAGAACGCTCCATAAACTACTGAAAGTGATGAAAAATATGATCCAGAGCGTACATATTGGGCCCCAGTGAACGAGCCGCTTTCGTTTATCGCTATAATCAGAACAGATTGAATCATTCATGATGCATGGAATCCCTCTGCACTGACTTCGTGCAGACTTGAATTTCCTGAGATGGCAATGTATAAAGGCACACACGACCTTATGGAGAGGCTAAGCACTTCAAGGTCACTTGTGTATATTGTGATTGGTGGATTCGCCTTTGCATAAATGCGTAGCATACGTTACTGAGGCGGGCTTTGAAATGATAATAATAAAAATCGCATAAACATTACATTTTTCAGCTTAATGGTACAAGTTAACATATGTAAAATTTTACAGATGTGTCATGCATTGGATCCATTAACAAAAAGAATATTATTCTGGAACATAATCAAAGAGGTATAAAATTTGAAGATTTAGTCTTTTTTCAGCTGGTTGTAACGGACGGATAGGAGAGGCATTTGTGTAATATATACATTTTGCAAAAGGCAAACTGTGAAAGATAAATCGGAAGTTATATAATTCTTCAAATGTGTCATAGAATATATGTACCAATCTTACCAATTATACTATTGTTCCCTCCCTTGTTTACATATTCATTGTGGCTAAGATAAGGAACTGTTCACCTAAGGTAAGATTAATTCACTTGATATGTATACATCCCTAGACATTTCTCAGTGCGGCCGGAGGTGGTCGAAGGAATACAATCTCGATCACTGCATGGAAAGATCACAACCAGTTTCTTCTGAAGGATCGGGTGGTGCTGGAAGCTGTAAAGACGGGTCGTGTCACTATCATGTGAGGGAAACTGATCCACATATTGTGAATAAAACGATGATGTAGCCATAAAAAATCTACAACCGTAATTTTTTCACTGAAATGTTATAAACCCTTTTTTATGTGAAAATGTACTGCTTGACCATTGTTCTTTTGTAAATATATGCATTCTTGTCGACTACTTGTACCTCTCTTATTTATCATTTCGAGGATATTGCATAGTTGACGAAATTGATAGGCAACGTAGTAACACTTATGTGAAATGCGTCATAGTTGTAAGCCGTTATTATTTCCTCAGTGCGTCATCAAGCCTCGCATGAAATGTTCCAGTTACATTTAATCCGGTTGCGCGTAGTATTAGTATGCATTAGTGTTGAGAAGAAAAGATCGTCAAACATGTGTTTGTATCGTTTGCAGGACGGCTACGGTCATCGAAAATAACGTATTGTAGATATATCCTATTTAAGATAATTATCCTAGTATTCTTGTACTGCGCATATTATCATTCTTTCGAAGTAAATCATTACGCATTCCAAAAATAGCTATATCACTATTCCTTCGACAAGCAAAACGAAGTAGTAGTGCAAGAATACCGTGAAAACTTTTGAGAAATATTTATTTTAATGAATGATTTCAAAATATCACAACGATTCCAACGTTAACACGAAAATTCTTCAATCACACTTCATCAAAGCTTCCATTGCGTAAATTACAATTGTAACCTGGAAACCAACAACAGTGATACTTCTGTTAGCAAATAATTACCAATACAAAATTGCTAAAAAGCAAAGGACATCTCAGTAAAATCTTTGTTTCTTCTGTGTTATGTTCCGAATAAATCAACTAACACTCCTTTATAGCTGTAAACTCTTCTGACTGTTATCAAGTTTTCAGAACTCAGTGATTCAAAGCACCACTTCGAAATTTCGCAAAATATACTTCATTTACCTAATTATTTCGTTTTTATTAACGTAATCAACAATTTACACAGAATTTTAACATTCCACATGCAAAGAAACAACGAAATTTGATGAAAACGTGAACACGATAACCCATACAGTGCGCGATAATGTATCACGATAACGTTTATCATCACCCCCTGAGATCACCTTATGCCCTTAAAAGCCGGCCCTAATGTTTCGGTAGACGACGTCAATGTCCTTGATGTGTGTGAAGCTACCGTGCGACTAGATGAGACGCTTGCATGCACTATTAATTTGCTTTTAATAATGTCATTTTCCGGATTAATTTTGTCTTATTGGGAGCGTATGCTCCATCGCTTTACTAGCACCACCGAGTTAGAGGTAGACGAATTTGCGTCTTATTTGAACACAACCTGGAAAACATTCGCACCTGTAAATCTGCATGACTAATTCAATGTAGTTTTTTCACGTATCAGTCCTATATCTCCCAATGTAATTTTAAAAGTACATATATCCGTGTATGTAGAGTATTCAGCTGACAAGTTCTACCAAAATTTGATGAGTTCATTAAATCCTGCTTTATTAAACTTTATTGCTTGTTTTGAAGAGAGCAGAGGTCACCGAGCGACCTTGACCAGGCAATCTTCATGCTTCGGTGTATTATTCGTATTTTGACAGTTCATTTTATATTTAATTGTACTGGATCAAAATTTATCCTACCCTTAAGATAACTCTAGGGCAAATAATCCACCAAAATTATTAGTCTACAGCATACATTCCACCACAGTAGTACTGATCTCGAAATATTGTATTTCAGACGATTTCACGTAATAGTCGTATACTTGTCCATGTCGAATAAGTAATCTAAAGCTTTCAGGAGAAGAGTAAACAATAGATATCAAAGTCAAATGACTTTGACTAAGCCAATCAGATAGAAGTTAGCGAAGCATTGAAAACCAGGGAGTACCGGACAGCTGCTGTTTCATCCTAATTTGGGAATCATCGGAAGTACGCACCCGCTGGGATTCGAACCCAGGACCTTCCGGTTACAAGGCAAGCTCGTATACCATTCAGCCACTGGGACCCGATTCAATGGCTCATGAATTCTAACTTCTACCAATTCGTGATTTAGCGCGACCCCAACTATTGTCGTTGGTGGGACATCCATCCACACACTTGACATCTAATTAGACCTCACTGATCACGACTTCTCAATAGAACTACAGGAAACTCCATCCTGTAGCAAGTCATTAGCGAGCATCAGATTGATTTTCTATGGTTTGGTTTGTAAGGGTTAGTTATGTTTTTACCAGTTGATCACGGATTGATATCAGTTATGGGGGTTCGAATCCCAGTGGGTGCGTGCTGCCGATGATTCTCAAACTAGGATGAAACTGCAGCTGTCCAGTACTCCCTGGTTTTCAATGGTTCTCCAACTGATATCAATCCGCAACTTGCATAACACTTCGACTAGCATATTTTATTGACGACAGCATTACTTGCCTGTTATCGTATCAAGGTCATTATTGCGTCGAACTCCTTTGGTAGTTAGTGGTTCTTTAAGTTTAACTTTTCCCAATTAGCTCAGCATTATAAATCGTTGCTAATCATAATCCTCGTTGAAAATGTCTCCTGGATTTGGTTTTTGACTTTTCTGTGAAAAATGAGTCGATGGAGTGGAATAAAACATGCATATCTGGAGGGATAATGACTCTTCAAAATTATTCCCGGGCTACTGATGGTTATATATTCAGATGCAATCACTTTACATGAGGAAGTCTGTTTAAGTTGGTAAGTCGTACATAATTGGTGATTTTTTAGACACTTTCTTCTCTAAATCAAAGCTCTCCCTATGTAATATATTGCATATGTGCAAACAGTATCTGTTACAGCTGGAGAAATAGGTGTGGCAATGATCACTTTTATGAGACTCTGGGACCAGCTTTTGCAGCATATTCTAGATATATACCCCATATGATCCATTTTTATCACACATACATAGTAGATACACTTCTTTTCAACTAGATGAATCTGATTGACCGAATCAACGTAATTTGACAATATTGTCTACTGTTCACTTTTGGTGGTTGTAGGATAAAAGACGAAAACCATCGTATTTTGTGTGATCCCGTCCCCTGAACTAGATGGTTAAGTTCCAAAGCTTTCAAGGTCCTACTAAACAGCATTTTCGGAAGAGACTTCGAGACGAAGTGAGCTCATATTTCAGTTCCCCCTAACTGATAAAAATGACTCTCCACTTAATCTTTGTTGTGATTGGTTGTAAATTAGTAAGCTGCCTGCCGAGTCTAGAACAATATGATTGTACAGCTTTTTTGTTGCACATTAAAAATGGATAAATTGTACACAAGTTTTAAGAGGTTGACGGTATCGACGTTTGCGAGTTGTACGGAGTATACTGACGCAACAACAACTTCTATAGTATTCGTTCCTCGTGGACCAAAGGCAAAACAAAAGACCACAGTTAATCGTCCAAACTACGGGATATATTTTGGGACGAAATCGTAGACCGAGATGAATGCTTAACTGGCTAGTGATCGTGCACGAACGTGACACGACGGAGTGCCGAATCCCGTGGATGCTTGACCGGTCGTCTTCAGCTAAACAAGTCGACTTAAACAGTGGGGGTCAGCATCCAATGTTCAGTGATGATTGCTGTGTTCAATGATTTTAGGGAATTATTTACCGCTACAGCTCACTCCCCCCTTGTGGGGTTGTGAGGACCCTAAGACGGAACCAGCCGGAAGTAAACAAAAACTCGATGAAGGGAACCATCGAGTTTTGGGTGAAAAAACTCTTCCTAGCGGATTGGTGTAGTGCCTACCGGTCCGTCTACCTATGCTATTAGAATGTCTGTACATCGCTTTGGTGATGTTTTTCCGTTAGATCTCGTGCCTCGTTTGCTTCTTGTCCAGTGCCGGTCACACCTGGAAAAAAAATCTCGGGACCTTTTTGAGGAAAATGTACCAAATCAGCTTTTAGAAAATGATGTGTACCTACCATACAGTAAAATAATGCAAAGTTTGGAACATCGAAAAGAATATACATTTAATTTTTTAGTGCATGTAACATGTACGGTTAAAGAAAAAATTTTTTACCTGTGTATAGTGATGCTATATAAAAAAAATTGATGTGTATGGAAAAAATAATTAATACCACAAACGAATGAGTTGGGTGAATCGCATCACTTAGTTATGTGATATAGGCGTGAAGATGTTCTTGGAATCTCACGTTTCGTCTAGAACGCGTTTTCCTCGGTGGCTTTCGCCATGCTAGTGATTTCTTCGGGAACTAACCGATATTCGGTTACTTGTGTATTATTAGGAATGCTCAGCTCTAGGCTAATAGGATTGCCCTCTAAGTAGGCCGGTTTCGAACGGTCGATGCTGACGGTGTCTTCGCGGCCTTTTCTGTCGAAGACAAAGAATTTATCCATACTTTTAATGACTTTAAATGGTCCGTCGCACA